TAGCTAATGAAAATGAAGATAGTATGGCAAATACATTATTTTATATTAAGATATAGATGTATCTTGAAAAGAATTTTTACATTTTGTATTACATCTCATATGTCAATGTGCAAAACTTGATGAAACTTTACAAATATAAGCTTGTGAACATTTTTTTTATAAGCATTTATAAGGTTAAAACTTGAAATTGTAACCAATTTCTCATTCAAAGTTCATGAATAAAATTTGGTTTATTTCTTATAAAATATTTATTGTGTACAAAATGTTCTATAATTTTACTATATTATAAATTTTGACTTGGTGAATAAGTTTAATTATCATATGAAAGGTTATTATAGATGTATTAATATAAAATTAAACTATTATAGAACCATATCGATATTATCCTCAAGTATCAAGATTTTAACGATCGCCTAATTTTTTGTCACCTCTCTGTACATGTTTCACATTCTATAACCGACCGATTAAACGAAGCAGCTGATCAAAATTTTGGCACTATTTTTTTTAAAGTTCAAAAAAATAAGGTAAAAACCCAATACGGTGATGTTGCTTTTACATGTACATGTATTCCATACGGTACGTGTTTACTCTTCTTTTATCTCATCATTTAATGTTAATGCAGCTTTTACATGTACATGTATTCCATACGGTACGTGTCTACTCTTCTTTTATCTCATCATTTAATATTATGCAGCTTTTACATGTACATGTATTCCATATGGTACGTGTATACTCTTCATTTATCTCATCATTTAATATTATGCAGCTTTTACATGTACATGTATTCCATATGGTACGTGTTTAATCTTCTTTTATCTCATCATTTAATGTTAATGCATGTTGGGCATACGTACGTACATAGCATTCCTGTGTCATTTTTCATAAATCGATACAAACACAAACGGAAGTGAACGACGGCTTTCACATATAAATAAAACATCGTTTTTTTTTAAAATAAAACATTGCCATAATCACTAATAAACTCAAAGATGGCATCTAAAACTTCGAATACTCATGATTGTTGTAAATGCTGGTATTGTCGAAACGATTACTACTGTAAAGCGTGTTCAGTTCACAATATTCATGATTGTAGTAAATGTACCAAATGTCAAAATAATTTGTACTGCAGAGGATGTTATCTATATCACAAACGAATTTATATGACTAGTGGAAATAAAGATATCGACGGTCTAATAGATAAATGCGACAGAATTGCTGGCGAATATGGATATTATAATTTCGAATGGATCCCTTTTGAACGATTTGCCAATGTTGAATTTCTTGCAAAAGGAGGTTCTGGATCGATTTATAAAGCATTGTTGCACGATTACAAGTGGGATCATGAAGAGAATATATTTAAACGAAAGGAAGAATGCAAAGTTGCGTTGAAATCATTACACAATTCAAAGCAAATTACATCCGAGTTTATAAACGAGGTAAAATGAACACCTTTAAGTTTATGCATATTATTCTTTATGTTTTTCAATATAATTAACTTGTTCAAAATTAGATTCAGACGGCTCTAAAGTGCAGGGATGACTATACGATTATTAGATATTATGGAATAACTAAAAACCCAACTACAAATGAATACTCGATAGTAATGACTTATGCAAAAGATGGCGATCTACGCAAATATATGAATTCCAACTATGAAATATTGAATTGGGAACAAAAATTAAGACATTTAGTTAATATTACTCGAAGTTTGCATATAATTCACTATCACGAATTTGTGCATCGTGACTTTCATCCTGGAAACGTATTGATAATTTTTGAAAGAACTCAAATTGCTGATTTTGGACTTACCAAACCAGCAGATATAGAAAAATCTGATCAAGAAATTTGCGGAGTACTTCCTTATATGAGTCCAGAGGTATTAAATGGAAAGACATACACTAAAGCTGCAGATATTTATAGTTTAGGGATGATTATGTACGAGGTTGCTACAGGTGAACGACCATTTGGTGAACGAAGTCACGATATACAACTCGTATACGACATCTATATTGGCGTACGACCTACGATACCAAATACAGTTCCGGGATGGTGCAAATTTATGATTGAAAAATGTTGGGATCCTATTCCAGAAAATAGACCAACTGTTGATGAACTTTATTACTTTATCTATTCCAGTTTATATGTCGACTGGTTCATTCAGTATGGGCTGAAGCTGAATACTTTACATTTTCAGTACTTCAGCTCTAAGACATATGAAGAAATTATTAAGTGTCTCAAACTGGAAAAGCAGAAATTAGATGAACTTGACGAGAATATGAAAACTGCTCCTACAAATACAAACAAAAAACAACAAATCCACTCCAATGCAGTTTACACCAGTCGAGTTCATACCGCAAAACGAATTTCAATTCCAACTGAGACAGGTGCTTTTAGTTTAAAATATAAATCATATTAACATTTCACAGTAATTAAAATCCATATCAAATGTATAGGAATGTCAAGTGTCAGTTTGTTTGTTCCAAACGAAGGTAACTTACTTGTGATATTATTTTTATTAAAATATATTAAACATGTTTGTTTGCATATAACTCTAGAATATGTAACTACTGAATATGATATAGATATTCAAAACGAAACAAATGAAGGTAAAATCTATTATTTATACCACGACTTTGATTGTATATATATTTTATTTATTTATTTATACTTTATTATTATAATGTAATGCTAGCAAATGTCTCAAGAGAGTTTGATATTAATGTTGAGAATGATGGAAAAGATGCCCAAGAGAATATCCAAACACAGCGTAAGTTTTTTCATCAACAACGACGACGGAGTCTCAACGTTTAAAATATTATATAATATTTTTTTTAACAAACACTAGATTTCAAAGAGCATAAAACGACCAGCAAACGTCCTATTGAATACGTGCCGGAAGAATCAAATAAAAGGAGAAAGATTTCATTTTTGAATTAAAACAAAGCAATCAAGTTAAAAAGAATGATAGATTTTATTTTCAATTAGTGACTAACAATTAACAAAAAAATTAATATTTTCTTATCCTTTATTTCTTTATGTTTGTTATTCAATTCTTTAACGCATAAATCAATTTCCACAAATAAATCATTATTATCTTATTTATTTTACTATCGATAATAATATGGTGCATAATATCTAAAGTCATCAAACGATTGTATTTTATAAAATACAATCGTTTGATGACTTTAGATATTATGCACCATAAGCATATGAAAAATATTAATGTTAATCAAAAACATACTGAGAAAAATTTTAGTCTCATCTCTATATTCGGAGTTATGAGAGAATTCAAAAGAAAAGGTCTGTCGTCGCTTTCTTCAGCCCACACAACTCACCAAGTTTTGAAAAATATATAAATAAAATAACCTGATTTTTCTCTAAAAATTCTAAAAAAAATATCCAGAAACATGACTGATGTCACTGATAACAATTCTTCGATCAATGACTCCGACCATGATATTCAAAAGAGAGAAAATGCTATGCAACACGTAATAAAGCCCTTATACGGAGAACAAAAATAACTGCGCTAATTTTGATATTGTGCTCCATCAAATGGAACTTGTGAATAGTTGTTTGCTTGTCAAAAGTATCTCAACCTCGCCGGAGATAATAAGTAAAACAAAGCATGTATGTATACTATATATCAATCAAATTTTCTTTCGACTCAACCTCTAACTCCCTTAATTCTTTCATTTAATTGCAATTTAGAAAAGATTTGCTGAAAACGTTGGCCACCATTATTTATAATGGTGTTTTCTTTCGTAACGAATTAATTGAACTCATAAGTGCAATGAAAGCAATTTACAAACTATTTATTGAAATCTTCAACGATGACTGCAAAGATTGGCCATAACAAAATACTGCGACTTTATCGAAGACTCGTTGAAAGATCTCGAAGCAGTTTGTGAAAAAATGGAAGATATTAAGGAACGTGCTTGATGGAACTGAGAAATAACATTTATGGCTATGAAATACTCTCCGGCGCTGAAGCTATCAGAAAATACGTCTGTCGAAAACCGTCAAAAATACCAATAAAGATCTTCGAAATTTGTACGAAGATTTGGCCAAATCGGGCTTGAAAATTTCAACGAAAGAGCGGTTGATCTGTCAAATAGAAAACAATAATTTTTAGTTTGAGGATTTAGAACGTCAAAGATGAAGCTTAAAATTAGCCGGAAATATATGAAAAGCAAACATCAGCATTAGAACCAAACAATTTATCATCAAACTTTTTTCACAGTGAACGTATTAAAGCTGAACTCGGAACTTTCAAAGCTTTACAATTATTACAGTGCTCGCCAAATATAACGAGAATGCTGTTTTTCCTTAATTTGCTATGAAAAAAAAATCGAAAATATATGAAAATTTGCAGATATACAGTTTCATATATTGCGATCAAGATTACTTTATAGAATAACTTATTGTAATTACTTCCAATTATCTAACCGAATCCTGATAGTAGACTTTAAATGAAACAAAGACAATTAATCTAAATGGTAGTTTTTTATTACGTCATAAAAATTGATCGAAAACATATAAAAATTTAAATATATATTGCAAACAAGTTTCTTAAGACAACTTAATAGCTTAAAATATTAAAAAAGCCAAAAATAAAATTTTTTAATTAAATTTATAGCATTATATCAAAATTAAGATCAAATAGTAGAAATAAGATATGTTATTAAGTAGTCTTAAGAAAACATGTTCGCAATATATTAAAGTATATATCTGTAAATTTTTATATATTTTCAAGCAGTTTTTATAATACAAAAATAAAAAAGGCATATTTTTATCACTATATATGGCGAGCACTGTATAGTGATCATTAACTCTATTCAATCGAACTACATATCTCTTATATATATAATGAATTATTCAATGTTGTAGAATATCAAAAGCGCAAGGATAAAGTAAACGATGAACTGAACACACTTCGTCAAACAGAAGAAAAGAAACGGAACGACAAAGGTGATCTAAGAGTAGCGTTAGAAAAGATCAAGGAAGACATTTCAGCTGTGAACTTGTAATTGGAACAAATAAGGGCAAATCAACAAATGCGGCAGTTGCAATTTTATTGTAAGTTCTTTTAAATTTTTAGGTTGCAATAATATTCTCTATACATTTAATTTTGAATTTTTGAATTTTCAGATTGGAATCTTTGAAAAAGAGTGATACCGATACCACCGGTTTTATAAAGTATAACCAAAATGCCATGAAGTCATTTTACGAATCTATTGAAAAATCCTAAGGTTCTGCTCAAAAAATAGAAAATGAAATGTCCGCCGTGCGTCTCTTTATACGAAAAATTTAACCAATTATGCGTAGTAATCTTCGAGTGGAAATTGAAATTTCCAACCGATTGATGCTTGTTGCCAATTGACTTCAACTGAGATGTCTTAGCAATTATTGCGAATTGTCTATATATTTATATCTTTTTTTCTCACTTCCTTTCATAGTTTATCATATTTTTTATCAATTTTTGATAGACAAGGCAACGTATTTTCTCTTAGCTCACATAACGATAAATATTAACCATTCCATTACGTATATATTTTTTGCGTAATGCAGTTTTTTCAAATTTCTAATGTTAAACTATGGAAATCTTCATACTGCGGTGACCGGAATTGAGAGTTCGATATGAAAGATCCAATTGTCATTGTAGTTTGGTCCAAAAAATGTGCACATAAATTATAAAGATTAACGTGAACATACTATAAGCTTTCACCTTGAATTCTTTCCTTTGGGATGCTTATTGTTCACTTTACAAAATTTAAAGTCTAGTTATTGTTGAAAAAAAATTGTATGATATTTTAAAGTCATTATCAACGAAAAACTTACGTCGTGTTTGGTTGGTTAATATATTTGAGGAAAATTTGGATTTCTGGTATCTTTTCTATATCAATATCAAAATTTTCGTGAATCACGAGAGTTTGATATTGATATAGAAAAGATACCAGAAATACAAATTTTCCTCAAATTAGGGATAGTGATCGATTCTCAACCCAGAATCCATTTCAATTATTTCGACTACTCGATTAATCGTTTTATCTAAATAAAGTCGATTAATTTTAATTTGAGGAATCGATTCTCAACCCAAATCGATTCTCGTAGTATAGAGGCAATTTAAGTTTGTCATCAGATTGAGATTCTGTGTCCGTTTCATAAATATCATTCAAATTTGGATCAATATCAGTTACTTTTGGCATTGGTATCACCATCAGAGTTATTAAATTCTATTAGCAATAATTTCTTGGTTATTATCAATATTAACATTTTTGTTGAATGACAAAGTACGTACGTAGATTGAAAATCATGTTATACGTATACTTGTGTTACCAAATTCGAAAATTAACGGTAAATAAAAAATTACGATAATATCTAACTTCTGATTGGTTCGCCGCAAGTTACAATAAAAAATTTGGTTGTTGCTACATACGTACAACTTCTTTTTTATGCGTTCTGTCATTTTTTATGCATGTTACTCTTCATCGTTTAATGGGCGTACGTAATATCGGTAAATTCCACACATCGATATATAAATCATCGTTTTTAAAATAAAACACTGTCATAATCATTAACGCTAACGCTAATAAAATAAATTCAAAGATGGTATCTCAAAATAAATGGTAATATTATCACTAATGACATCTTATGCCTACAACATATTAAAAGAGTATTTTGTTATTTACGCAACAATAGAAGTTACAAGAGCCTTCTTTTTTATGCGTTCTGACTCTCATCATTTAATGTTAACGCATGTATTCCTGTGTCACTTCATGCATAAATCGATACAAACACAAATGGTAGTGAACGAACTTTTACACATACCGATACGTACGTATAAATAAAATCATCGTTTTTTAAATAAAACACTGTTATAAACTCAAAGATGACATCTAAAACTTCGAATACTCATGACTGTAGTAAATGTTACTATTGTATTTTTGTTTACTACTGCAAAGCGTGTTCAGTTCACAATATTCATGATTGTAGTAATAACTGTGTCTATTGTCGACAATGGGGTTACTGCAAAGCGTGCTCAGTTCATAATACTCATGATTGTAGTAAATGTACCAAATGTCAAAAACATAGGTACTGTAAGGGATGTTTTCTATATCACAAACGAATTTATGTTGAATGGTCTAGTGTAAATAAAGATATCGACAGTCTAATAAATGAATGCAAGGAAATTGGAGAATCTTTTGAATGGATCCCTTTTGAAAGATTTACCAATGTTGAATATCTTGCAAAAGGTGGTTTCGGATCAATTCATAAAGCAACCTGGTTGGATGGAGCAATAGATATATATGGGGGATGGGATCATGTAGAGAATAAATTTAAACGACGTGGCGAATGCGAAGTTGTGTTGAAATCATTATACAATTCAAAGCAAATTACATCCGAATTTATAAACGAGGTAAAATGAAAACCTTTAAGTGTAAGCATATTGCTATTTTGTTTTTCAATCTAATTAACTTTTTCAAATTAGATCCTGACTGCTCTAAAGTGCAGTGTTGATATTTTTCCTGCAACAAATGAACACTCGATAGTGATGGATTATGCAAAAGATGGCGATCTACGCAAGTATATGAACTCCAACTACGAAGCATTGACTTGGAAAGATAAATTAAAATATTTAATTAATATCATTGAAGGGTTGAATAAAATTCACGTTCAGAAATTTGTGCATCGTGACTTTCACCCTGGAAATATATTAATGCGTCGTTATCCTCGAATTGCTGATTTTGGACTTACCAAACCAGCAGATATAGAAAAATCTGATCAAAAAATTTACGGAGTACTTCCTTATATGAGTCCAGAGATACTAAATGGAAAACCATATACTGAAGCAGCAGATATTTATAGTTTTGGGATGATTACGTACGAGGTTGTCACAGGTGAACGACCATTTGGTGAACAAAGTCATGATATACACCTTGTATGCGACATCTATAATGGAGTACGACCTACGATACCAAATAGTGTTCCTAAATTATTCGAGTTTATTATTGAAAAATGTTGGGATCCTATTCTAAAAAACAGACCAACTGCTGAAGAACTTGGAAACTTTATCAAATCTATCAAATATGAATATCAATATGTTACATGGTTGAATACTTTGCATTTTCAGTACTATGGCTCTTTAAAATATGAAATTATTATTGAGTGTCTCAAACTGGAAGAGCAGAAATTAGATGAACTTGATAGGGAGATGGGATTACAAAAAATCATTCCTACGAATATGAATAAAAAACAAGCAATTCACTCCAATGCAGTTTACACCAGTCGAATGTTTACTTCAAAATTAATTTCAATTCCAACTGACACAGGTATTTTTTTTTCTAAATATAAATCACTATTGATATTCATGTTAATTTAAAATTCATATCAAATGTATAGGCATGTCAAGTGTCAGTTTGTTTGTTCCAAACGAAGGTAAACTTACTTGTTATATTATTTTATTAAAATATATATTAAACATATTTGTTGCATATAACTATAGAATATGTGACTACTGAATATGATATAGATGTTCAAAATGAAACAAATGAAGGTAAAATTTATGAATTATACCACGACTTTGTATATTTTATATTTTATTTTATAATGTAATGCTAACATATGCCTCACAAGAGTTTGATATTGATGTTGAGAATGATGGTAAAGATGTCCGAAAGAATATCCAAACACAACGTAAGTTTTTTTGTTAACAAAGACGACGGAATCTTAACGTTTTAAAATATTGTATACTTTTTTTTTAACAAACACTAGATTTCAAAGAACATAAAACGACCAGCAAACGTCCTATTGAATGCGTGTCGAAAGAATCAAATAAAAGGGGAAAGCTTTCATTTTTATTGAATTAAGACAAAATGATGATAGCTTAATTAGTGACTAACAATTTAGCAAAAATTAATATTTTCTCTTCAATTACTTTTTTATGTTAACGCAGAAATCGACTTCCATACATATAACTCATCACTGCTGAAATTTTTGAAGGATTATCATTTCCAAATAAGTTAATATATGCAATGCTAATTAGAATTTCATGAAAATGATCATGTAATTTTACATGATAAAATCCAGCCAATCAAAAACAATACACGTGATATTTCAGCACTTATTAAAATTGATGTTAAAAAATCTAACTATGGTGCATAAAATCTAAAGTCATCAAACGTTTGTATTTTATAAAATGGATAAACTTCTTTATAAGAAGTAAATACAAAATTTAATCCGTGAATATGATAGAATAGGCCTTTTCTGAGCATATATACAGATTAAATTTTGTATTTACTTATTAGTAAAGAAGTTTATCCATTTTATAAAATACAAACATTTGATGACTTTAGATTTTATGCACCATACAAATAATTTTTATAATAAAATGGATAAAAAATATAATGTTATAGATTATATCAAAGGCTATTTAATAATGTATTTGTTTTAATGATTATACATTTAAGATAAAATTCCTTTACAGTTCAAAGTATTAATGCGACTAAGTGGGGTGCACCATACTATTATTTAAAACCCATATACGTATAAGATGGATTCTAAATTTTGAATACTAGTGTTCATAACGATAACACAATACCGCATTTTATACTCTCCTTAGCATGATACATGTATCTCCCTTCATTTATTCATCATTAAGAGAGTGACAAATATTAGCTAATATTCTAGCAGGGAGGGAGGATGGGCCAAATCTCAGGTGTTAATATAATCTCACGCATGTGTTAAGTGAAATCTCAGGGGGCCATAATAAAATGATATTAGCTAATATATATCATAGTATCCCGAGTACTATATTAATTTTATAATATCGCCGTGCTTTATTCCACAAAACACAGTACGCGTGATTGTAGTAATGAAATTATTGTCAAAAAAGAAGTACTGCTCTACATGTTAATTTATCAAGCTGCATAGTCTATCGAAAATAAAGATATCACGGTCTAATAAAAGAATGCGCGAATTAGATCTTTTGAATGCATCCTTTTTGAAAAGGCAAAAAGAGGTTTTGGAGCAATTTATAAACTAACGTGGTTGTGGGTAGGATCACAGAAAATTAAATTTAAACGACGTGGGAAATGCGACGTTGTGTTGAAATTATTACATAATTCAAAGCAAACAACATTAGAGTTTATTTACGCTTGTAGTTAAAAGCCAGCTACAAAATGACGATAGTATTAGTTAATCTAAAGATAACGATAAATGCTCGAATGTTATTTTACTCATGATTGTACTCGCTGTCAAGCAAAATAAGTACTGCTATGAATGTTTTAAATATCACAAAGCTGAATGGTTTAATATAAATAAAGATATTGAAAGTTTACGCGAAAATTGGAGCATATTTCAAATAGTTCCCTTTCTCTATGTTAAATATCTCACAAAATGAGGTTTTGGAACAATTTATTAAGCAACCGGTTGGACGGCCTATTGGAATTCATGGAAAAAATAAATTTAAACGACAACGTGAAGAATACGAAACTGTGTTGAAGATTTAATACCTTAGCCACGGCAAAAAAATGTGACTATCAATGATTCTGATCCCCTTATTATAATGCATAATATTAAATAGAGTTTTGGTTAGGTAAGGGTTAAGTTTAGGGTTGGTTAAGGTTATTGTAAGTAAACGAGAATGAAGTATAAAGTAAAATTTTGCATTTGTTTTGTTGGATTTTTACGTTGCACATTGATCCCGCGTTTTAATTGGTGCATAATTTTAGGGGGCATATCGGATGACCGGCATCGGGATCGGAATCATGTGACAGTCACTTTTTTCTCCGTGGCTAGTTACGTAGTTGGTAATTTCTAAATTGCAAATCGAGTTGCTTTTTGTTTTCTAATACGATTAGATTCTCCAAAATAGATTCAGACTGCTCCGGTGCAAAAAGATTTGCACCTCAAATAATTATTAATAAGTTATTTTCTTAAAATAAAATTTTAGTTCTGTCTTATTAATTAAGTCATTAGATATTAGGATTAATTAGAATAGATATTTTAATTATATATATTTCATAAAAAATTTTTTACTAGTAATAACTTTTTTGAATTCTTATTTCATAAATTTTACTATATAAATTTGATTAAAATTAATCTATATTTTTATCAAATATATAGCAATATGCTTGCATAATTTGAAGTTTTAATATTACAAATTAATAAAATAATTTTTTATTTTATTTTATTTTTTAGAAAAGTA